TAATGAACCGATATTCCTAGATATTTAATCGGGAATTGGCCAAGTGCGCAACCAAACATGTTAGCATAATCGGCCGCCGCCTCAACGGTTTCTCCAAAGCAGAACAATTCACTTTTATGAAAGTTAATTTTGAGGCCCGATATTTGCTCAAACGCTGAAAGCAATAGCTTTAGATTTCGAGCTTTGTCTAGGTCATGTTCCATAAAAATAATCGTTTCATCGGCATATTGCAAAATAGAGAGGCCACCATCCACAAGGTGTGGCACTACTCCTGCAATCTGTCCATCCTGCTTGGCACGCTCAATCAGAATAGCCAGCATGTCAGCAACAATGTTAAATAACATTGCGGACATGGGGTCACCCTGTCGTAGTCCTTTTTTTTTCTGAAAGTAATGACCTACATCATCATTGACTTTGATGGCCACACTACCTTCAGTTACAAAATTTTGGATCCACTTGCACCATTTATCGGAGAAACCTTTCATCCTTAGGGCCTGTTGGAGAAAAGACCACTTGACCTTGTCATAGGCTTTTTGAGAGTCAATTTTGAATACCACTCCACTCATGTTTTTTCGGTGCATCTCGTGGACGGTTTCATGAAGGATAACTACACCATCTAGTATATTTCTTCCTTGCATGAAGGCCATTTGAGATGACCGGACAACATGGTCAGCTATCGAGTTTAACCTATTCGTAGCTACTTTGGTGAAAATCTTGAAGCTGACATTAAGGAGGCATATGGGTCTGAACTGTTGGATCCGTTCGGCCTCCTTAATTTTCAGCAACAAAACAATCTCGCCAAAATTTAGCCTAAATAGGTCAAGTTGATCGGCATGAAGACACTTAAACAACTCTAGAAGGTCAGCCTTGATGATATCCCAAAAATTCTGATAAAATTCTGCGGGAAAACCATCAGGGCCTGGAGCTTTGTTGTGTTCCATTTGGAACACCGCCGCTCTCACCTCCTCTTCCGAGAAAGGTGTCGTGAGGATATTGTTCTCTTCCACCGTGACTTGTGAAATATCATCTATTCGGGCCTCGTCAAGGTGACATTCCCTTCATCTGGCGCCCCGAAAAGAGATTTGTAGTAGTTGGTGATATACTTTTTAAGCTCCTCCTGACCTTCGATCCGCCCCTCATCCTGTTGGAGACTATGAATACATTTCTTCCTATGTCGACCATTGGCGACCAATTGGAAGTATTTTGTATTACTATCTCCCATTAGGATGAAGTCAGCTTTGGACTTCTGGTAGTATTTGATCTCCTCTTCACGCAATAGACCGGCAACCTTCTCATTAGATTGATTTTTTCAATTCAATCTCTTATTGAGATAAGGTACGTGTCTCTGCAATTTTGTCGAGGTCGTCAATGATGGTACAGAGGCGCTGCTTTTCTTTTTTGTCAGCCCATCCAGAGATGTGTTGCCTCATAGCCCTTATTTTATAATTTCATCTCTGAATCGGTGTACGACCAACGACGGGCCTCTCCCAAATACTCTTTATTATGTCTACAAAACCATCCCGATGCAATCATGCCAATTCAAATTTGAAAGGGCGACGGGCAGAATGACTCGTAGAATTAGAATTAAGAATGATTGGTGCATGATCCGATAATGCCTCGATTCGCTCTAGGGCTCACACGGTTACCACAGGAAATTTAAGCTCCCATTCGGTATCCATGAGTACCCTATCGAGCTTCTCATACATCGGCACATAACGGTCATTAGCCCAAGTGAACTGCCGCCCCGACATACGGCCCCCCCGAAGATCCAAACTGTCAATCACAACATTGAAAAGGAAAGGCCAATGAGTGTCGAAGCGGTCATTATTTTTTTCCTCCTGGTACCTAAGGATATTAAAATCCCCTCCAATAAGCATTGGGTACGGGTTATTCTTAGCCAGGTTCACTAGTTCACGGAGGAAAGCTGATTTATGCCTTGATAGCCCCCAGGACCTAAAAATTGCCGGGTGAGCGCCTGAAAGAGCGCCGGCCTATGCGCTGGGGGGGCCGAACGAGTGGAGATGCTCTTACTCTGAACGCAGCTAAGGTGAAAAATCCTGTGGAACTATACCCTCCAAAGTTTCCTCTGAAGTTCCTATCAGCCGAACAGACCCTTAGCTATTCGTTGTTGGAAAGAATCTACAAACGTCGATCACTAGCCCATCTTGGTTTGTGCTACCAAAGTTTTTGGAATTTCGGCTGCAAATACTATGTGCGAGGGGTGCATCCTGGAACTCAGTTTTTCAATGCAAAAAAGGCTTGATGCATTCGGTCTACAACTGTGTTAATATAGAAGAAACAACATCCAATGCATGTTACTTTTCTGTCTATGTATGGGATTGTCTGTCATTCTACTATAGTAATGTTAATTAATTTTTCAGAATCATATAAGAGCAACTCCAACACGCCGACCCAAATGAACGACACTTTTGTCCGTTTTTTGTTCATTTGTGTAGGCCGCCCACTCAATATTCGTTCAGTTTTATTTTGGGTTGGCCGTGTGCCCAATGCAAGAGGCCCATTTTATGTCCGCCTATAAATTTAAAAGCTCTGAAGCCCTAGATCATTGCCAACAGCCATGCCGCCGCCCAAAGTTCATCCAGCATACAATGTCAGCCTCAAAAAGACCATCACACAGCTCTGCTGGCGCTAGCCAGCGGCCGACACACATGCCAGCACACAAAAAGGTCGAGAGTTCGACCACGCCATCTCGGCCATGGTGATGTCAGCACACTTGCCGGCATGCAAAAAAGGATGGCGCATGCTGCCATAGATCACTAGTCGTCGAACTTGAACATGTCAGCATGCATCTTCTCGAACCGTGGCCTCTTCCTCGGCGACACAATGTTGAGGTCCACATTCATGATCTCCACCCACATCATCATGCTAGCGAGAGCAACTTCTTTCGCCTTGGTCTTGGCATTGGTGGCCTCAATCTCTAGCATCTTTGCCCTGCTTCTCCGCCTCCATCTCAAGCATCCTTTTTTGCTTCTCCGCATCCATCTCAAGCCTCCTCCTTTGGATCTTCATGAAGGTGTTCATTTTCTCTTCCTTGTCTTGCCGACGTTTTTTTCTCCTTCCTTGAGTCCTTCTTGGTCATCATGCCCTCCATGGTTGCGATCAAGGCGATGGACGCTGCATCCCGTTTGTCCTCCTTCTTGGAGTTGGCATTCCCCTGCGGTCATGGCTTCTCACCCTTCCCAACCTCCTCCACGACTTGCTTGCCCTCACGTGCCATGAGGGCGGTTTATTGCGCCTTGAAATTCTCCTCCCTGTTGATGACCCTCCAACAACGGGAGAGGTTAAATGACTTGCCGTCATGTTCGACCTTGAAAGCCTCCTAAGCTTGGAACGCCTACAAATGGATAGCATGCAAGCATATGGGCAAATGGGTATGCAAATGGGCATGCAAGCATAAAGGAATGAAAACCAAGAGGGTCGCATGCATACCATGTTTTCCATGCCGATGCCGCTCATAAGGCGTGCCTTGATGCTCTCAACAAAACTTGGTGCACTCTTGCGGGTAGACGTGGATGCCGGAGATCGGGTGCGTCGCCGACGCGCGCGGCGACTCCAGCAGCACCATCAGAGGAAATGCGGACGAGCCGGTGCTGGCCACGACCACGACAGCGTTGACGAGCCCGTGTTGTCCAGGGTTTAACCCTAGGTAGTACATGGCCTCCCTCGTTGCCGCCGCGACACGGGCGTTGGTGTCCTCCTGCTGTGCGGCGACGACGAGGGCGGCGGCGGCCGCTGCTTCGTCCCTTGCATCCGCGTGCCTATGACCCTTTCTCTTGGCCAACTGCACGGCCCGCTTCTCCGGCGCGAGGTTCTTCTTGGGAGGCACGGCGGTCTTGCGAGGGGCGAGGCACTTGCCTTTGCCGGAAGGGGCGGAGGCGAGGCCAGCGGCCGCATCAAGAGCGTCGTCCGTGGCGAGTGGCCGGGAACGCGCTGACGGGAGGGTTTTTGGGAAAGTGGAGGGAATGGTGGATGTTTTGCCACTGACTGGCGGGCAGGGGGGAGTAGTTGTCGCGCTCGCGCGCGTCCGTCTCGTGTCTGCGCCGACACAGATCAGGCTAAAAAATGGGTCGCGGATGGGTCGGCAAGCGGACGCGCGCCCGTTTGGATCGACGCGTTGGGCCGACTTTTATGTCAGCCGCGACCCAAACGGGCGCGCGCGGACGAAATGGATCGGCGCGTTGGAGTTGCTCTAACTCTTGTTGGAGCCCAAGATAAAGGTGACGACTTATTGATATTGAACTATAAACCCAGAAAAAGGATATATTTTTTTTTGCGGGGTCCAAAAAAAGGATATTGAGATACAAGAATATACACGCCCTAAATGGGCAGTTAACTAGTACTACCTCCGTCCTGTAATGAGCGTAATTCCAACTTTGTTGGAGGGTTAAAGTATCTTAAAGTTTGACCGAGTTTGTGTAAAAATATGTCAATGCTTGTGAAACCAAATAGATATACGAAAATATATGTTATCATCATGAATCTAATGCTACTAATTTGATAGTATACATGTTGGTTTATTATTGTGTAAATACGATCAAACATAAAAAATTGACCTTCCAATATAGTTGAAAATACACTCTTTTAAGGACGGAGGGAGTATATATGTAGTACCCTCCAATTCATATTAATTGTTGCAGCTTTAGTATAACTTTGTATTAAAGTTGTATTAAGGATGTGACAATTAATATGGATTGGAGAGAATATTATATATTATTATAAAAGATATTAGTGATTTTTTAGGCTAAAAGAAATTAGTGATGATTTCAACCCTCCGTCGTGTGTTCGTGTGTGGGCTTCAATCTTTGTGGTGAAAGGAATTGAATGTGACTTTGGGCCTCCAGTCATGGTCTCATGGGCCCTGAGCAGCAGCGCCGCGTGATATCCGCGTCGTCTCTTGAGCCGAGCGTGGCTTTGGACCTGCGCTGGACTCACTGCACACCACCCCGCACCGCACGACCTGCGTGAGCAAGGAGGGCGAGATGGCGACGGCCAGCCTCCCCGGCTCGTCCGAGGCGGCGGCGGCGCTCGAGAACGACGACCTGGTCTCCGAGATCCTCCTCCGCCTACCCCCGCAGCCGTCCTCCCTCCCGCGCGCCTCCCGCGTCTGCAGCCGCTGGCGCCGCCTCCTCTCCGACCCCGCCTTCCGCCGCCGCTTCCGCATTCACCACCGCCGCGGCACCCCTCCGCTCCTCGGCCTCTTCGGCACGAGCCGGGGCGTCGTCACTTTCCAGCCAGCCCTGGACTTCCCCGACCGCCTCCCCAGCGGCCACTTCTCCCTCGTGCTCAACGACCCCTTCACGACCCTCGGATGGCGCCACGGCCTCGCGCTCTTCTACCTCCCGGACTCGCTCCAGGTCCTCGTCTGGAACCCCCTCGCCGGCGCCCAGCACCGCGTCGACATTCCCGAGGGGTTCGTGTTCGACCCGTCGGATGACCCGGTCAACGGGGCGGTGCTTCGCGCCGCCGGAGACGTCGACCACTTCCAGGTAGTCCTGGTGACCAGCGACGGGAAACGACCATCACTTGCCTGCGTTTACTCGTCGGAGACTGGGTTATGGGGTGATTTCATCTCCGCGCCGCTTCAATCCGGGACTATGGTCCATTGGGGCGAGCCCTCTGTGCTGGCCAGGGGTTGCATTTACTGGTTGATTTCGGTGACGAGTATCCTCGAGTTTGATTTGGATAGCCAGACCCTAGCTGTGATATTGGTGCCAGCGGGCATGCGTACCGGCAGGATTTACCAGTCCACGGTTATGCGAGCAGAGGGTGGTGGGATGGGTTACCTCAACGTGGCAGACTTCACTGCCGAATTATGGAGGAGGGAGACAGACTGTGATGGTTCATGGATGCTTGGAGGAACTGTTGAATTGGACAAGTTACTTCCCCCAGGTTCAGACAACGAAGCCCTGCGTATGTTAGGTTATGCTGAGGAAAACAATGAGGTGTTCTTCTGGACAGTTGTTGGTGTCTTCATGTTCAACCTTCAGTCACTGCAGCTCACGAGACTTTCTGAGATCGACATCTCTGGTTATGGTTATCATCCATTCGAAACCGTCTATACTCCAGGTACTAGCATGCCTTTTCACTGTGGTTATAACAAAGTTGAGTTATTCCTTTCATAATTGGCTGATTAAATGTTGTTGATTTCCTTTTGTGTTAATCTGGCCATTTTAGGTAGCAGTAATATCACTTGTTTCTTTTGCTGCTTCATGACCTCTTCAACATACTAGTATACATGGACGTGCAAATGCACGCATTGACTTTCCTCGTCCCACCGATTGGTGCATTGCACAACAACCAGCTCAAAACTCCGTCTCAAATCCCTCTGCGATGACGCGATTAGTACGAGCGCTACCGATGCTTATGGACCATCTGCCAAGGCGGCTGAGACAGCCAGCTACGCGCACGGATGGCCGACAACAGCAGCAAGCATGTGGATTTCTCCAGCATTAACATCTGTGGATGGTTCCAGAGAACAACAGTAGCTTCGCTGGTACTGTAGGTAGAACTGTAGGAGCGAATCCTAGCATTTCCAACCATTGGATGGACTCTATCAATGGTTCAGGTTGCTTCCTAGTCATGAGATTCAAAATTTCAAAACTGGTACACTATGTAGTAGTATAGATATCTTCCCTATCTACAAATGTTGTTTCTAATATTGTTGTTTTTCAATCGAAATTTGAACTATCTGCTTCAAGTCAGAGTTATGCAAGGAAGAACAAAAACGATATGAACTTAGGCATACCGTAAGAGGGAATTACTCGGCGGCTATGAAGCTGTGAAATTATCAAACGGACAATCTATTTTGTTGATGTCGTGGATTGAACCCACATCCATTAAACATGATGCATTGATGATATGAAATGACATACAATTAATACCAAGATTGCCTAATTCTTTGTATAATAACTGAACTGAATTACATAGTTGCCTGCCTGCTGAAACATGCAAGAGATGTATAATGGTAGTGTTAGCGGATAGCTGCAGTGCAGTTTTTTCTTTTCAAGATGAGATGCATAGCAGTTTAAAGTTTAGACAACTGCTATATATGAATAACTAGCTTCAACAAACTAAAATGTCAAATAGGTAGCTCAACTGGTACTTGGAAGATTAAAAGCTAGCTATATTTCTTCTGTTCGATATTGTTGTCTCTGGTGATGTTGCTAATAATATTAAATTGTTAATAATGACTTGGTTTTTAATTTATGAAATTATTGCTCATTTTGTCACTTGTAGAAGAGTCCTGTTGCATGTGACAGGTCTATCTGTACCAGGGAAAGTTAATAAATAAAGTTCAGTTCATCTTTTCAGCATATTCTTTTGAAAAATAATCTACATCTAAATTTTCATGATCACTTCTGTTGGTACGAATTATTTTGTGTTGTTCGGTATGGAGTGGAATGAGAATAAGGTAATCTGGACAACTTCCCTTCTTTTGTGATCAGATAACAGTCCAAGTCTGCATGTGCTTCACTTCTATGATATAATGAGTATCTATTGTTTTGAGAATAGTCTTTGAATTTGACAGCAGGTGTGGTTCTGTTTATCAATTCATTTTTTATCAAAACTATTTTGTTTCTCAAATTACAGCTGCGAGTTGATCCAAGTATCTTGTTTGTGCATCCTCGTATCTACTTGGCCTTTTGTTTTTGTAATGCCACTGGTCGTTTGACTTCTTATGCATGTATAACAGGCATTGGTGGTGGACAAGAGGGACCTGAAGCAGTGGTGGTGGTTAAGAGGCGCTCGTGGTGGAAACGATGGGGACAACACATAAGAGGATTATTCAGTTGCGCTCGTGGTGGAAACGATGGAGACAACACATAAGAGGATTATTCTGTCAGATATGCTATTGTGATGTATTGGTCGAGGCTCGAGCAAGGTAAGCTTAACCTCTGCATGGAAGTTGAGGCATCTGAACTGTTATTTTAAAAAAAATGTCTCGCTTTAATTTTTATTACCATTTCTCAAGTACCAAATTTCAAGAGAGTACTCTATGATTCTCTCTACAACCCTTTACTCAAATATTGCCCACCTAGCAGCCTCCCATCATGCTTCCATGAATCGCTGTCTCCTGGATGTTTTCTCCAGGTTCTACTTCATTGTCTTCTCATAGATGATGTGTCTGCCATGTTAAGTTGTGGCAGAATGAAATTCTTCCTCTTTCCCGTGCCTAGTAAAAAACTTGGATACTCTTTCTTCATTGGTGGTTCGTGTAAGTGGGTGCTGGTAGATTGTCCAGTTGCGCTCGATTTGAGTGACAATTAGGATGTGAGTGAGCGTTACCTGGTTACCAGAGTGAAATCGCCTAGTATAACGAGTATCTTCATGTTCCCTTGGTACAAATTTCTGAATGGATCAACTGAAATTTCTTTTGTGATAAATAAAAGTTTGATGAACCATATGTTTGCATCCTTATCATCTTCTTTCATACATTCATACTTCCTCTAGGTTTTTAATTATATTATAAATACATCTGTATAGGCAATAAATGTTCTTGAAAAAAAATGCCTAATGTGCTATATGTGCAGCTTGAGTGAAGATCTAAAAAGATCAGTTGCCATATCTGCTAGCAAGTACAACAAAGGAAATTCGGCATTGCCTACTAGCATTATTATTCATTTATCCCCTGAATTGGCTTGGTGTTTGTAAATTTAGTATAACTGAGTCTAGCTAAATAAATCTTGAGTAGAGAAACGCCTAATAAGCTATATCTACATGACTTTGAACAACACTGAAACTAGAACAGCTGATAGATCAGTAAGCCTTTTTTCCCACTGGCATTAGTGAACATCTGTGGATGAACAATGTCGAGGCGTCGAGCATGATTGGTTGGTAGCCAATAATTTGCTGGCCAACATTTTCGCATGCCAAAATATTGCAACACCCAAGATTTGCCTGTTTTTGGCAAATTTTGTGAGATGGTCAAAGTAAGTTGGTGACCAGCCAATTGGTAGCCAAATTTTTGTCTTGCCAAAATGTTGGCTGGCCAATTTTTGGTAATCAACCAATCATGCTCTAGGACAATCAAATTTTGATTGTGCCCTTGGTTGGCCTATGCTTGCATTGATTATGTTATGTTATAATTGGTTAGTGTTTTCTCTCTCCTTTTTTGCTATAGTTCGATTAGCATGATTAGTAGCTGATTCAAGTTGTACTGTTTTCACGTCACACTCCTTCTAGTTGTATATACCCACAAAGCTGTTTGATGTATACAAGTATTTCGGCTCCCCCTCTGTTCTCTGTGTTTAGGTGTTATACCCACAAAGCCGGTAGCATATGCTTGGTTACCTCCTTGTTCTCTGAATTACTTGCTGCCAGTTTGTTGGCGTTGGAAGTGAAAACCTTAGTTTTATACGGAGTATTTTATACAGTATGAGAGCTTATGTAGTTGTATCTCAGAAATATTTTGTGTGGATGATTTTCACATATGTAATCATGCCTCGGCTACATATATGGTTCTAATCATCTTTCACCTTACCACGCCTTTTCAGGTCGGCGGCATGATGCTTCGTGTGCGATAACCACTTCGTATCTGGTGAAATCTCATTTGGTTGCGTTACTACATAAATATGGTTGCCAGACATATTGCTGTGCCTATGGAAGTGACGATAGACGTATTACACGAACATGTGTGTTCCTATGACACTGCTCGTCAGGTTTTTCCTATGTACTGTATCTCGAGGATTGGCTGAATTGCCAATGTGTATGCGGATATCTGCGGACGGTAGAGGGAATATATCGTGATGTCTTTTCGGGTGGGGAATATAGTGATTAGTACTGGTAAGCAATTGCTTTGCCCATGGTTTTACCTGTCCCGCATGATGAATGCGCGGCAGCACAACTTCGCGCTCCCTGCGTCGATTGCGTGAACCAGGCCAGGAGATTTTGGCTTCAGGTTTCTGCTTATGTTCCATGATATCCCCGCTTGTCCCATTTGTGCTTGTCTGTGCGTGTGTGTTTGTGTTGAATCTAGAATCTGATTCCGAGCTCAGTATCTAGAATCACAGTGGTTCTGATGTGTGAATTGCATCAGTAGTCTGACCTAGGAGCTGTGAAGAAGTTCCTGTATGTTGAATTGCAATTTGCACCTGCCTTAAATAAAATGTCTCGCTCCTCCCTCTCAAAGCAACACGTCAGGGATAGGTGTATCGAAGCATGTAAATATTAGCATGGATTGCGTCTACACATCGATGACTGCCTTTGCTTTAGGATGTTAAAAAATAGGTACCTTTCAAAATTAAAATTGAGTGGTAAGATTATAATTAGCTCCATTATCGGCAACAAACTAGAGCTGCAAGTAAGGACCAACGGAAGAAAACTGAGGAGAGGAGACACCCGGAACCGGCAGCTCCCCCGCCCCAGCCCGAGCCGAGTGCTGAAGATGCTGTGGAAGAGGAGAGGGTCTCCATCCGGGGACCCGCCGTCACGACGCCGAGCTGCAGCCCGGACTCAGAGACGCCGTCTGGCAGCACCGGCGACGCTGGAGCATCCTCCACCGTGTCCAGCTCGGAACCCCGGCGCTGGACAGGCGTCATCAGCAGTTTCAGCTTCAGCTTCAGCTCCAACTCCTCAGGCGGCATCACGGCAGCCTCGCCGTCACTCCAGTCATGGATGGCCGGCATCCTGCAGAGGCCCGCCGCATGACATTGTAAAGGTTAAATATTGATGTCACTAATGCAGGGGCGGCCAAAGCTTTGGTTCTCCGAAATGGCTTAGTGTTGGCGGATTATATGGGCTGCACTGCAGCAAGGTTGAGGTTGAGTCCGACTGTCAACCAGTATTAATTGAATCGATCTCACTACTTTGGTGCCGACGCTGCGGTTGATGCTGAATGTCTACAACTAGCGGTGAATTTTCGCAAATAATCTTCCTTCGATATGTAATCGTAGCGCTAATCATGTCACTGATAGCAATCATCATCACGTACTCCCTCCATTTTTATTTACTCTGCATATTAGAGTTGACCGCAGTCAAACTTCGTAAAGTTTGACCAAGTTTATAAAAATAAATAAAAACATTTACCGTAACAAATCTATACGATGTGAAAGTAAATTCAATAATAAATTTAATTGTGTTGATTTGTTATTGTATATGTTAATATTTTTTTTATAAACTTGGTCAAAGTTTATAAAGCTTGACTTTGACCAAAGCTAATATGCGGACTAAATAAAAACAGAGGGAGTACAAAAACAAGTTGGAAATTCCCATACATTTTTAGTTGCTCAAAATAAAAACCTAAATTCTAAAAAGTGCACGCGCACTATTTCGCGTCATCCAGCGGCTGGCCGTGAGCCGTAGGATTTTGACGTGATGCGCACCGCCTAGTAGATTTCTGTCATGGTCGGCGTCCATTCCCCACCGTTCTGACAATTTGTCCCACACACACACCCCTCTCTTATCCCTTCTCCCCATCCGTCCACAGCGACACGCGTCGCCGCGTCGGCGTGGTGCCGGCGACAGTGGATCTTGGATCCGGCGAGCTACCAGAGCTGAGCGGCTCAGCATCTGCAAGCATGGCGAGGGAGGAGCAGGACTTCGCTCGCTGTCGGAGGGCGCCTCCATGGTGAGAGAGATAAGTCGCTTGACATTGACAACTCACGCGACCCTCATGTAGCAGGAGGCGGTGGTGCGACGGGAGCTTGTGCAACCGCGGCGTGTGAGAGGCGACTCCGCATGGTGCGGGAGCTAACTGGTTCTGCATCGGCAGCGTGCAAGACTGGAAGTCGCAAGGTTTGCCCCCTTTCGAACTACTTGTTCACACTACCGGAACAGGGCTCTACGCCGACAGCCAAACATATGCCGACGGCTGCCGTCGGCCTAGTCCGAGCTATGCCGACAGCTAGATCCTGGCCGTTGGCGTACAATTGCCGTCGGGCTATTCGTGGCTACGCCCACAGCAGCCGTCGGCATATATAGGCCGTCGGCTTATCCCAGACTAGGCCTACAGCTGCCGTCGGCATATACAAGCCGTCGGCATAGATGCGGGCCCTCTGACAACTGTCATCATGGCTGGCTAACGACGTCAAATCTATGCCGACGGCCATGACGGTGGCCGTCGGCATAGATACGGGTGACAGTCACCGATTCGGAGCGCACCGACCAGGAGCTATGCCGACGGCAGCCGTCGGCATAGCCGACACGTCATCGATCCGCGGCGCTGTCCATCTGCCCTCGCCGCACCTATTTGCCGTCGGCATAGTTTTTTTTTCTTTTTTTTCCTTTTCCCATATAGTATTATTATTATTATTATTAAGCATACAGTATGTATTAATAAGCATACCTATAGATTGTGTTAATAAGCATATAGTATGTGTTAATAAGCATACATATAATTTTTTTCTTTTTCTTCACTGTTTTTTTAATTATTTTTATTTAACTAACTTACATACAATATGTGTTAATAAGCATACATACATTATTTTTCGGTTCTGTACAGAGCGTTGTGACCCCCCTCACGAACGGTGCCGCCGCCAGCCGGCAACTGGAATGGGGAACAGCCGCATCGGGTCTATACGAAGGGGACTTTGCTCCAAGTGTTTATATATATCGGACGACCTACCACAACCGGATGGTGTTATGGCATGTCCGAAGAGGCGGCGCGCATCTCCAGGGGGTGGCCCCGTCACGGACGGCCCCGCCGCCGGCACCTGGAGGGGGGGAACGGACGCGTCTGGTCTACATGGAGTGGATTTAGCTGTGGGTTTGGCCTGGATGTTGCTCCCCGGTGTCCCTCTAGGCCGGCCCGACACAACCGGGTGGAGAGATCCACTGGTCAAACCCCGTCCGTGCAAAGTCAAAGGGCTAGCTCACGTGGTCAACCGCTC